TTTTTTTAAAGGGATCTCATGTATGATTTGGCTCGCTTTCTTGTCATTCTATTGTTATTCGTAGCTGGATTTACTTTACATGTAACATCTATCTTTCAGGTATGTGAACTTAGTAGTAGTTGCGCTTGCAGTATCTTTATATTCCTAAACGAATAGCTTTTATATTGTTTGAATTTAACTGGAACCAAGTCATTTAAAATCAGAGTTTTCGTAATCTTTGCAGCCTGCTTACCAGCCAGTCGATGAAGACAGCGCTGAGCTAATGCGACTATCTTCTCCAGAACAAACTCTGGAAATGTTGTTCTTCTCATTGTTCGGGTTAGTTCACCAGCCGATTTTCATTAGATGTGGTTACATGATAATGGTACTCTGTTACTAGTATCCTCTCCTTTTCTTTTGTTCTAGTACTTTCAATGTGTCGCCAGAAAGTTGCACTGGGAAAAGAATGAGAGATTTTATTGTAGCCTAGTCGAGCCGGACAGTATGCCTCCACTTCACTTAGTGCCTGATTTTGCTAAAATCATCTTGAAGATCTTGTTTGGTATATATATGATGGTTACACTTATTGTAAGTTTAATATATTTTTTTCTCTGCCTGTGGTTGGACCTATAACTACTGAAATTTCAGGTGCTCATAAACTTGTTGATTGCCATGATGTCAGATACATATCAAAGAATTCAAGCTCAATCGGATAAGGTTAGTGAAGCGTGCAGATAGAAATATGAGGATGAAGAGAGCTTTCAGGAGTGGAAGTTTGGTCGTGCTATCTTGATTCGGCAAATGAACAAACGTAGTGCTACTCCCTCTCCAATAAATATGCTCACCAAATTATTCGTTGTTCTTAAAGTTGCTTTTCGTAATCGATGTGAGTTTCTCTGATGTTTGCTTTTGTAGCTCGGAACGATCCAAATGAAATGTTTTCAGTACGAGTTTGCACACAAAAAGCTCAACAAGATTTGCGATTTGAAGAGAACATTGATGCATTTTCAATGGGCAGAGGTCGTCAAGGAAGAGCTAGTCCAACTATGCGCGAAGAAGGAGAAGGTGAACCGGCCTTACATTAGCTAGCGTGGTCCTTCAACATAAGCTATGTTTCGCACTTGTTTTCTTGATTTTTCCACTCCATTGTTAAGCAAGAATCGTTTGAATCCATGTTTGTACATGATCAGTTTGATTTCTAATTCAGTTTTGAGATTTGATTGTAGGGGATAGAAGTGAGGATTCAAGGAAGTCCTTTTTTAGATGCCTCTGAATCAGCAAGCTATTCTTTTGATGATATTTGATTGATAGTTATGTTCGTTTTTTAGATAGTACGCGGTGGTTTTACTAGATGAGTGGTGAATTTCAACTTCTCTATAACCTGTTTTAGATATGGGAGGAGATGGCGCTGAGCTGGGACAGATTACCGATTGGAATATTGAGAATGTGATAGATTGGAAGCGAGTCGTTTCGATGTACTATCAGATGAATGGGAAGAAAGATGAACCCGACGAAAATGAATAGTGATAACGAAGTGCCGTGTACAGTTTGTATACAAAGATTTTGATAAAGATATTCTCGACAGACGTTTGATCTGATACAATTGAGGGGACCTGGCCCAAATCATGCTGATTTAGCCTTACTTCTGATTTGTAGAGATTGGACACTCTTGTGAGCCTTTCGGATGAAACACCAAATTTAATTTATAATTTTTATTAAAACGAAAGTCATATGAAGCCTGCAATAAATTGTACACCCTCGTGCTATTTAGAAAGGCGGAGGTCCATTAATAAACTCAAGAGATGGATCAAAGCTTCTTGCGAAGTTATTTAGTAGTTGACAACAATACTCGTCATCGCAGTGTGGGACCAGACAAGCTGCTCCCAGCAGTAGAACCAGCATTGCCTAAAACAATGTGAGTTATCAAAATAATAGGAGAATGATAGTGTATGGTAGTTGATTGAATTGAGTATAACATCCTTCA